TATATTGTGTCCATGTCATTGTTTCAAACACCACCTAAACCTCCGCAAAATCCAATAAAGAGAACTTAGGGATCATGAGAAATTTGCAATCTTCAATAGTGTTTCTAATTCTCCTATGAGGAATGGAATTAGAGTTCATAATAATAGGTACACAATCTCCCTCAAGAATAACAAAAGACACCCCAAATCCATAGCAAACTTGAGAGCTAAAAGTGTTGCATGAGCTTCAACTTCCACAGGATCTCCTATAGGCAACCTTACAGATCGTGCACATCAAAGCTCACCATTAGCATCTCTAAGTAAAAAGCCTGCTCCTCTAGTGAGTTATTTAATGCCCCATCAAAATTAAGTTTAAGCATGGAAGGTGGAGGTTTCTCCCAAGTAGAAGGTGACAATGAAGAGGATTCCAAAAGTGTGGAAGAGTTTGAATCACTCAGATTAGATGATATTAACTCTATTTGCGACTAAGCTGCATACACCACGGAAAGAGGTTGAAAAGGTTTATTGTCCGTCATTGTTTTGCAACTTGTTTTCCATATTTGCCACATGTGAATTACCCCTTGTGCAAACAATGATAAAGTAGATGGGTGTAATGGATTCTCTAAGGTTATGTTTGGTTTGAAGGAAAAAGTAGGGAAACCTATATAAGGTTTGGTTTGTATAGGTTTCCCTACCTTTCCCTACTTTTTCCTTCAAACCAAACATAGCCTAAGTGAAAACAACTTAGTTGACATTGCATATTGCATAAGATGGGAGAGTGACTGTACTTTGAATCAGCACCATTCTTCCTGCATGAGATAAAACCAAATTTTCCAATTTTCTAGTTTGCCTTTATCCATCACCATTTTTGTGTCATCTTTGCTACCTTTGGCTTCATGAAAATGACAACCCAGGTATATTTTTCTGTCCCGATATCATTCAAACCCCCCAAAAATTAGTAATTCTTGTTAGAGATTATCAATCTATTCAAAGATTTCACCTAACAGCTTAAGGTTTTAGGTTAAATGATTCTTTGAGATGGTATCAGAGCCACTTTGACCAAGTGGTCTAGTGTTCGATTCTCGTCACCCCCATTATAATTAATTAAGTTTCAGCACAAGGTATGGGTGGGCCTTACTTGTTCATACTTCAAGCCCAATAGGCTTTCATGTGAGGGGGCGTGTTAGAGAATATCTACCTATTCAAGGACCTCACCTAATAGCTTAAGATTTTTAGGTTCAATGGTTCTTTGAGAATTCTCTGTCTTAACTCTTCACTAAACAATTAAGGTAAAAACCAATAGAACTGCCTTAGGTTTGCCCTAGCTTTGCCTTAACTACTCTTTATATAAACTTCTTTACACCCTTATGCCTACTACAATAAAGTTTTCTAATCTAATTGAACACTCTTTGTTAGAATCATACTAATTCTCCTAAAAAAGAAAGTCCTATTTGAAGACAAATTTGGAAATCCCATTGTAATGCTAACTTGGTAAATGCAAAGCAAGATAGATAGATAGATAGAAAAATTCTACATTGATGCTATCTTGGTAAATATGAATTAAGATGAGTTATCAAAAGCCAACCTAGTAAATGTTTACTCAATTAGGTCAAATCTTGTATTGCATCCCTCCCAAATTAGAGAGAATCTGACCCCAAATTCATATTACCATCTAGGAGGATGCCAACATATGATTTTATGCTTTTGTTATACTTCTCTGTTCTAACTTTATGATAAATAACCGATACTGTAAATCTCCAATGCGAATTGAAATATCTCCAATACATATCTTAACTTTTGAAATATTTTTCTTGATCTTTAAATAATTTAATTCTTCCTTTATTAACCATTTTAAATGCAAAAATGCTTGCCAATGTGGATCTTCATAGACTTGTATATAGATAATATTATTAAAGCCTCTAGTGTGACAAATATTGTCTCTTGAGCAATGGGTACTTCATCATTGATTGGAGGTTTGTTCCAATCAACATGTTTTTTTTTTTTTTTCAATTGATATTGTTGAGGAGAATGGCAATGCAGGTTTTGGTTTCCACCACTTCATAAAACTTTAGGAGATCAATCTTGAAATTTGTTTTCCACCACTTCTGTTCACTACCCACAACTACAACTAATTTGGTTTATTACCTTAATAATGAAAAAGAATAAATGGAGGAACCTCCATGAAACTTTGATATTTCAATCTTGAAACCCATTTTTTATTGCTTCTGGTCACCACCCACAACTACAACTGGTCTGGATGGTTGTCTTGAAGATGAAAATGAATGAATAGCGGCACATGTGTCGGATTTGTTGTTCCTTATCTTAGAATGAGAATGTAGCGGTCTCAACTCTGCCACCTTTTTTTGTATTTTGTTGTTGATTTCTTGCTCCATGATATGAATCACTAGTTTCTTCTTAGGAGTCATAATTCAAAAAAGGATCAAACTTGTACTCTTTGAAACTTCAAAGAAAAGAACCAAAGCTGAAATAAATAGGAAGAACTACTCTTCATTGAATACTTGAGAAAAAAACCAACAGAATTGCCCTATCTACTCTTTATAGACTTTTTTACACCCTTGTGCCTCCTATAATAAAATTTCCTAATCTAATTGAACACTCCTTATTATAATCCTACTAAATTTCCTAAAAAATAAACACCTGTTTGAGACAAATTCGAAAATCCGGATGTAACGCTAACTTGGGTCAATTGACAAAAAGAATAAAAAAATCCAATTTCAAAACAAAAGAGCCAAATTACCCACATTTCCTTTAACCTCAGCTGTAATTATACGGTTATCTATGATTTGACGGCCTGGGGTGAAGAAGTTAACCGAGGAAGTAAGCTCTTTAATCTAGCAGTGATAATTTTTGTAACAATTTTGTAAGTGACATTTGTTAGACCTGTAGGCCTAAAATGAGAAAGCAGTTCAATACCATGTTTTGGATCAAAACTATATTAGTTCCATTGATTGATTTCAGAAGATGTGGATGAGCAAACAAATTTTGAATGAAGATAACCAAGTCGGTTCCAATTTCTTCCCAGCATTTCTGGTAAATGGGGGACCAATTGCAAACAAAGTTGTCTAAACCTCCTCAGAAGAAGGTAAGGCACAGAAGAAATTATTATCCTCCATAGTGATATCGCAAGGAGCAAATTCAACGGGGATATCATCAAAAGAGGGAGAGGTAGAAGAAAACGCAACCTCAATAAAATAGTTTCTGATTGTACCTTCAATAACCGAGGGGTCTGAAATCCAATGCCCCTGTGAATCTTTCAACCAGAGGATACTAATTTTGCTGTTTCGATCTCCAGCTTGTAACCAATTACAGGGGGCACGCTGGTGCCAGTAGAAATCCTCTAGTTCCAGAATATGGTCAAGTTTTTTGCAAAGCTCTTTGTTCCTCTAAACTAGAATCTGTTTTAACTGTTGACCGGAGGGCAGTATAATTTGATTTACGACAATCTCTCTTCTTTTCTTTATATATGATTAATAGAGACACAACCTTCAGATTAAGTTTTGTCAAAGCACATTTTTCAGTGAAGTCTCCAAGAACAGCATGCCAAATGTTAGAAACTTGCTCAGAAAAACCAGCTAACTGGGTCCAATAGGATTCAAAACGAATTGGAATGTTCCTCTGATGCCAATGTTTTAAATTCAAAAACCAGCGTCTCCCCAAATTTGGAGCCCAGTGAAATGCCAACACGCCAGTGTTTTAATAATAATAATAATAATAAAAAAAAAAGAATTGAGTTTATATGTGATATTTCGTCTTTTCTTCGTAACAATGTCGTGTTCGTATTTCCCTGGGGTCACTCCAAATTTAGAGTGATTCAATTGATTGACGTGTCTTGCACAAGAACGTTCCCGCCAGCAGCCAAGCTGTTTTCCCACAACAGCCAAAGTTTTCTTCTGTATGAATGATAGCATATGGCCATTTTTCCAGTAAGGTGACCCTCTATCTATCTTTTCATTTAGCTTTTCCATTCTGTTCACCAAATGCTTGGGCAAGAAAATCTATGAGTGATTACATTACATTAAGTTCAATTTTGTTTCTTAATTTCAATTTTAATTAAGATCATCATTCTCTACCTGATTGTTTTTGTTGATATTGGTATCAAAATAAATTTTCGGTGTTCTCCTTAAACTAGATGAATGCCTCAAATGCATCAGTAGATGTCTAAGCAAATCAATTCTAAGGATGCCTTGAAACCAAGTATAGTGGAACTATACTTGGTGAGGGTATTCTTCTTGAGGACGTTGAGTTCAAAAATGCAATTTCCTTATTATTGCTCTAAACGTTGAGGCAAATAAATGCAATATTTGCAGTATGACACATTCTTCCCCAGCTGCGTTACATACTTACATTTGACAACTTTTGAGTCAACCTTTTTTTTTTTGGTAAATGAGTCGCAACCTATTCAATCTAGTAATATGTGGAAGGGAATGAGGAAAGAAACGAAGACTTACCAGTTCTGGCTTTTTGAACCATTACATGAGTTATGATAACATGTTTTCTATTCACATAAACAAAAGAAATACTACAAAGAGAGAGAGAGAGAGAGAGAGGATGCCATATGTGATCAAAAAGCCGTTGTTCACTCCATCCAATGTTTCTTGAGGTTCCTTTCATTTTGGATGAGACATCCTTTGTATCTAAGAACAGAGCAGCTCTGAGAATTCCTTGGGACAGCAGCTTGACGTTCCTCAGGCCTCTGATGATTGCCCAGATTAAAGCTTCAGTTGCAGTATATTGGCAATACAAAGTTGGCCTTTGCAATGAGAGTGTTAGCCAGTTGGGGAGGCAAAAGAGAAATTAAGTCATGTGGAGGCTGAGCGTGTGCTGGTGTTCCAAGAGCCATCGACTATGACAAAAGGTTATTAATTGTTATAAAACCAGTGATAACTGGCTCTTCATGATGAGTGGTTCTCAAGATTTTTGAGATATAAGTATCCTATGAAGGCATGAGATGTTATTTTCCCTAAAACCCAGGTGATCTTTAGACATTTGAAATTCGGATATTCACACCACAACGCGTAAACTAAATTACTAAAATATATCTCTTTGCTTCAAACAAAATTTTCTTCAGGTCATTCCACAGAGATCCAATGAATATCATCAAAGGACCTGCCTACAATCAAATGGCAATTGGCCTAGCTAAAAAGTAAAAATAAAAATACATCAAAAAGGAGAAAATAGAAATCATAAATACAAGGGTGAATGAAATCAATCGGGGTTGTTGGAAAGTTGGGAAATACATGTGGATGGGTTCCAGAGATACATGTGAACTACATCTCCTGCTCATTGGAGTAGGGGTGAATGAAGGCAGAATTCATCTGCCAAATCTTGAGTGAGGCGGTAACGCTAGCCCCTGTAGCATTGTTGAACAAGAAAACTCGAGCGGCTCCATATATTGCCTCTGTTGGATAAACCCTTGATGTGATAACTGTCCTCCCACCTTGAGCAAAGCTTTCCACTATTGAATGATCAACCTGAATGCAGGGTCACATATATGGAATCAATTGCAATCATAAAATCAAGTATACATCCAGCAGCACATAGCTTAAATTAATACAACAGCTCAATATAATTGAAGAAAATCCCATAGATCCAGATCCAAGAGGGTTTCAAAGTTTGTTTATAAGTCTAGCATAAAGCTAGAAGCCCAGAAATAAAATGTTTACCGTTCTACTGTACTGAAAACCAAACAATCAACTTACCAAGAGCCTCATGGTTAATTTTTCTCCGTCAAGTACAGGAACTAAGCTTCCATAGACATGTTTGCCAACATCATTGGCCAAAGAAGACCTGCATCAAACACAAGAGTTGTTTTCCAGTTTAGCTCATGCCTTATTGTAGATGATATATAATTAAACGAATTAATACTTCAAGGTCAGTGAAGCATGCATGCACATATAAAGGACCACCAGAGCACCTTGATTCGTCTGCACAGAAGAAAGTCTTCAAGTGGCCATCAATGTCCTTGGCAATGTAGAAGTACACAGGTGTCTGCTCTGCAAGGCTTTTATCTGCAAGAACCAAAAGACCAAAGGGTCCCAAGGCGCCCCTTCCGGCAGCCCCACCGCTGGTACTACAGTCGTAACCTCCATCAGCTTCAATTGTCCCTGTCCCTTCCAAACTCGCATTGTCCACCACAAACTCAGCAATTATGTCCAACTGCGACACCATTAATTGCCATTTTCCAAAGAGGTCCCTTCGTCAGCTTAACTTGTTATTAATTCTGTTAAGGTTATTCAAATATATCTATATATATATATATAAAGAGGAGAATCAGACCTGCGTGGCTGTGCTCACGTTAAGCGGCACAACGGATCCGGCTGGGACCTCCACTTTGTCGAATTCGTCACTCGACAATCTCAAGCTCTCTGTTTCCTTCACTGGCCATTGAAGTATATTGCTCCTAGTCTTGTGATCAAAGGTAACCACCCTAGGAATGCTCTGTAAGAAGTCACTATCATGATTTGAGGAGGCAGTTCGATCAAGAAATGAATTTAATTCACCATGTATTCAAGCAGACTATTCAATCTAATGGTTATGGTAGGATATATTGAGAGTTGGACTCCACCCCACCTCCTATACAAACTTCAAATTTCCATTTTGTTAGTGCAGATTGAACGTATATATGCAAGAAATTAACAATACCTGAACAGATGCCCATCCCTTCTCTATGTCAGCATTCTCGCTGTCGGTTTCACCAATCCAACCCCACAAAACTCTCCTCTGCTTGCTCTGATCGTAGAATGTCTTGGAAGCGTAGAAATTACCATAATCATAGATCATACCGATTCCGACATCCGCCACAGGATTGTCTGGGATCCATGTATCATTCTCCACATAATATGTTCCCAGCGCATAATAATCTTCCTTGGTGTCGTCAAGGCTGGCTTTAAGCACATGCTTCACTCCGGGACCATTAACCGACGTGTCCAGCCCATTCTCATCTGTGGTCGATACTGGAAAAAAGTCCACACATTCCCACATTCCAGTGCCCGGAACAGCATGGAGAACGCCATCAACAAGATCGTAGGTGGTGAAATTGGTGGTCTGATATACCAGAGATATGCCGGTTTTGTGAAACTTGGAGCCGACGGTCAAACGCCACTTGCCGTCGGGAGTGAACCATGCAGTAGTGGGGTCTCGGAAGTCTAAGCTGCCAATGCCGGGTGGCGGAATAATGACCGGGTTGCCCGGATACTTAGCCCACCGTAGGAGAAGAGGATCAGAAGGATCGGCCGGGTAGGCGAGGTTCTGCACCTGAACCATTTTATCGGTGGACCCGGTATAAAGAACGACGATAGAGCCATCGGGGAGCTGGGTGGCAGAACCGGTCCAGACACCGTTGATATCGTACCATTGATCAGGGATCATCGCCAAAGGAAGATAGAGCCAGTGGATGAGGTCCTTTGAGACGGCATGGCCCCAGGTAATGTTGCCCCACACTGCACCATCCGGGTTGTATTGGTAGAAAAGGTGGTACCATCCTTTGTAATACAATGGCCCTGCATTATTGCAACATTTCATCAGAACAGGTAAGAATCGGATACGGAGCACTTACTGCACTTGCTGGTTCCCTGGATCTAAAAATAAGTGGCACAATAACAGCTAATACGTGCAAACATATAACTGGCACAAACAAATTGTGGGGCCAGTGGGCCCCCACACCGACCATGTGAGATCTGACGATTCTGACCCAATCAATGGCTTAAGTCGAGCCTACCAATTCTCAGCTTTAAATTACTATAATCCAAATCATCCATTTTTTTATTAATTACCATTATTTTATTATCTATTGTTTTCCCTGGGCCTCGGAGGCTACTGGCTAGGAGCCTAGGATTCCTACTTTCTCTCTTTTCTATTTCTTAATTTCTTAACATAATAAACAAAGGAAAAGAAAGTAAACACATCCAAGGGCCTGATACTTTTCACCTCAAAAAGAGTCTGTCCTATTTATGACAGTTTTCCACGTCAGCTTATTGTCTCTCTTCCATACTCATACTCATCATACTCATGTGCTTTATTTCACAAGGGAAGATGTTTCCGATGCAAGGTTGAAAGAGGCTGATGGAACGGTGTGAGAACGGGCTTAACCTGACCGAAGCCGATCTCTCCTCATATTACTTTCCAATCCTTTTACAATTTTTTTTTTTTTTGAATTTTCAACACTCAATTAATTCATATTCAAAGTTGAATTTTCCAGCCTACCATGAGTAGAAAAGAAAAGATGCGACAAAAAGTGTATAAACAAAGATAGTGGGCTCAAAACTCGAAAGCCAAAAAGGAGATCCAACCACACCAACCAAACCGGCAAACATCCTTAGATTTGATTAGGAATTTAAGATTAACTATCTTTGTCTCCATTAATTGTAAGTTGTAAATTAAAAAGCCAATAGAGATTCAAGTTCAAAAATACCATACCAAAGACGGGGTATCCAGTTTAAATTGAAGTTTAACTAAAAAAGTTGGCGGATATTATCAGAAATCCAGTACAGAACTCAGTTACTCAGAAATACAAATTTAACTTAGAAAACAAGAAATATATATATAAATTCAACTTAAAGAAAAAGGAAGAATTTTCCCCAGAAGACGTACCATTAGGATCTGAAGCAGAAAGAAGATGCCGACCCCATCAAATCAGAGCAATGAGAAAGGAAACAGAACAGAAATGGTAGGTATCAGACTATCATCGTGAAACAAATTATTAAAATCTGAATAAAGGGAAATTATGGGTTAAATTTTCGAAAAATGAAAAGAAAAGGGTTATATCTTATATGGGCACCGACCATTCATCCAATTGTTCTCAGGCTGGAAGTGGAAGGCCGTTCTCTGCCAAGACAACATGAGGTTGCTCCATGGGAAAGACGCGCCGTCTTCCGCCGAAAACAGTCGGTAAGTCTTCTCCGACACCCCTTCGGATACCCCTCTTGATACCTTGGCAGGTTTTAAGATTTCCGACGTTTTCGAAGATGAATATGGTTGATAGTCCCCTTTTACTGCAACTACCGTTGGGTCTTCTGATCTTTGGTCACCGATCAACACCATTACCAAAGCCAAGAGGAAGACCCCGGACAACAAAGTAGACAATATAACCTTAATGGATCTCCGGTCACTTGCCGGAGCCTCCGCTTCATCTGTTAGGGGATTGTAGGAACACGGAATGGTATTTTCGGGATCGGGAGAGGTTGAGAACTGATTGGTGTACATGGTGGTGGTGACAATGGTGTTCTTGCCTTAATGGACGACAGGACGAGTCAGAGAAACATGCATATATAGGGGTGAGGGGGAGAGAGAGCGAGATGGGTAGGCCCCAGGTTAGGGATGATGAGTTGGACCGTGTCAGACAAGAAGGCGTTGTGTGTCAGATTCCGACTCGTCGCAGATGCAATTCATCCCATCCTTCTTTGGGACTGGGAACGGGGAGGGGACAGGTGTAAAGGCGCGGTGAGCGGTGATCTGGGGTTGGTTAATATCACACAGGCTTTCAGACTAGGAAAAGTTATAGCCTTATAGATTACTCGATTTGTCCCTTGTCACGGGAGTCGGGACGAGCCCGGATGTCCCAATAAGACCCGGAATACAACAATAGCAATTAACACGGAAAATAATTTGGGTCTTCTACCACTTTAATACAATGTTCCTCGTATCGATACGATACGCATATCGGCTGTATCGTATCGCTATTTAAAAACGGCCGAAATTATATTTCTTTTAAACTTTGATTTTTTAATAAGTTAAGAACATATTTTTATTATTAAAAAAAGTTGGGGTTCCGAAACACATGAAAATAGAAGTTTCGGAGGATATTCTTTCAAAAGTTGATGTAGTGTCTAATGACATCTAGTTTTTATTTATTAAATAAATATTGAGAAAATAACAACGGTTCAGCCCAAAGTCAGTATTCTTACGCCCAAAATACAATTAGGTTATGTTTGATTTAAAGGAAAAAATAAGAAAGAGAAAAAAAAGACAAAAATAGCTATATAAGGTTTGTAAAAATTTTTCTATCTTTCTTTTTCTTTTTTTATCTTTTTTTTCAAACCAAATAAAATCTTAAGTATCAGCTTAGAATTGATATCAATTTACGGACAGACATTAATATAAAAAATGGGGTATTTGACATTTTAAATTTTTATAGATGTGTAATAAAATTCATAAATCTAGAAATCTGCAATAGGCCTGTTCTTACTTTTCCGCATCTCATTAAAGGAAATTCTAATTAGTTTTAGGTGTTGAGCCGGCTGTAAAATCAATAATGAAATTCTACGACAGTAATCGGCACCATGTATTTAATACTGGCGTCCGCCGAACAGCTAAACCTTGCTCAGACATGTCTAGAAGTCGCGGGATTACGCTACAGGAATGAGTGGGTCCCGTAGTGACATAAAGTAGTTTATTAGTTTGATCAAAGACCAAAGACCGACTTTGCTTGAACGTATTGTGTTTTGTTTCTCAGGCGTCTAGTCCTCTTTTAATTGTAGATGTCTGTTCTTTTTTCTTCTTTTACGGGTCGCATATTTTTATTTGAATCTGTCGAGATAAAAAAGAACTGATTTGGTCAGAATCTGCGGTTTGGGACAGACGGGTTATCTGCATCATCGTTATTTACCAAAATCCGGCAGTTGCAGACAGTCACCAGGCTGAGGCTGAGCATTATTTGCCCTTCTAATACATACATGCAAAGGCATGAATGGGTTGCTCTCTCTAGTTTCCAGTCTTCTGCCGATTAGATTACCATTTGAAAAGCAACACTACATCATCAGTGGTACCGTGGCCGTGTCTGTGATCTGTGTCATCATTTTACCGAGACATGGTTCACGTGCTCTCTCTCACAAATGGAAACAGTGTTGATAGTTGACAGGTCATTGTTAAAAATATGTGGGGTCACATCCATTGGACCCAAACCAAGCATCCCATGAACATGGTTAACGATTTCCCCCAGGTCCCACCCAAATCAAATCCATGAATAAGGCCTCTGGGCCTGGGATATCATCATAGAATTGGGTTGGGAATTGTAGGAGAGGGAGCAAAGGATGACGCAATTAAATTGAGAATTGAATTATTGAAGGAGTTGGTGTGGGTGGTAAGTAAGAGCAACTAAATAATGTTTGATGAAGCTGTAGTAGGTGGTTGATTGGGTGGGAGCTGGAATGTAATTACCTACCACTACCACCACATGGGGAGATTTCTATTGTCTGTAAAATTATTTTGGGTAAATTTTTTAAACTACGTTTATAGTTTAGTTAATTGATTAAGTGTATGCACATGTGATTCCACGTGACTTATATAATTTTTTTAAAATCCAATATTGCCCTCATACCCTAAGCCCCCATTCTCTCTCTTTTAATACCTCCCCCTCCGTCTCAGTCCATCTGTGATTGAACAAGGGTTCGTCGCAATAAATATAACAGGATACCCTATATGCGCATTCCCTCAGGCAGTTCTACAGGGAATGTGATATATATGGAACTGTGGACTTCATATTCGGAAATGCCGCCGCTGTTTTCCAAAACTGCAGTTCAATGCCCTGACCGCTCAAGGCAGAACAGACCCTAACCAGAACACCGGAATTTCCATTCAGAACTGTAATATCATGGCGTCTCCAGACTTGGTTTCTAGCAATGGAACTACAAGCTCTTATCTAGGACGACCATGGAAAGACTACTCTAGGACTGTCTATCTGCAATCTTTCATTGATAGCCTCATAGATCCAGCTGGTTGGATAGCATGGTCTGGAGACTTTGCACTGAGCACACTCTACTTTGCGGAATACAACAATACAGGCGCAGGATCAGTGACAACGAACAGGGTTTCGTGGCCGGGTTACCATGTGATAAACGCTACAGATGCTGCCAATTTCACCGTCTCCAACTTTGTGTTGGGGGATGACTGGTTACCTGCCAAGCGGGGCTTTCAACTTGGGCGATTTCATTTCTTGGCTTGGCGGTGCTCTCGACGATCTAGGCTCCGTCGAATATGAAAAGATGCAGAATCTTGGTCACTCCGATGACTCGGGCAAGAGCAGATCATGATTGAAGCTGCTATTCATCAACGATGATCGGTATAAGTGGAGCAGTGGCATAGATTAACGATCCGTTTCCGCCATTTTTAGAGGCGTTAGCAAGCGAAAGTTGGGTTTGCCGAGTAGCGATGATCAGTATCTGTTTGCATCCGCAGATTGAGAATGGAGAGAGAGACCAGAGAGGGACAGAGGCGGAGGGGGAGGTATTAGAAGAGAGAGAGTGGGGGCTCAGGGTACGAGGGTAATATTGGGTTTAAAATAGTTGTAAGTGCTGGAATCACTGAGTTCAGTGTTTCTTTTCCCTGTTTTCTGTTCTATTTTGAAAATTTGAAAAAAAATAAAGGGTAAAATAGTCAATTTTTATGCATAACGATACACTTAACTAAATGATAAGGATAATTTAAGAAATTTATTTTATTATTTCTTTACCCATATGCACCTCCCTACTAGTCTACTACAGGCTAAAAAGTTAATTTGGACCTTTAATTGGTATGGATCTGCACTTGAATAATGTAGCCTTTTAAGGCAATAAGTATTGTACAGCTTCTACCTCTCCACCATGTATGGTGTGTATTTAAGTATTAACGCCCCCCAAATGAATGTATGGTGTGTAATAAGCCTCTTGAGATGCATGTGACTTCATACGCAACACTGCACCTACACGTAAAGCTGACATGGGTTACTATAACTGCTACTGCCTGTTCTCAAATGAATGTTTTGTCTGTTTTTGGCATAAAGAAAGCAAGAAGGGTGGGTACATATATAGAGACATGTTTCTTAATTCTTACAAACAAAAAACGTATCAAGTGTTAAGGGCTTCTTCTACGCCACTACTCTTTATTTTATATATCCATTCGAGCCACCGGGTCTAATCAATGTTGGGTTGGGTAAGAGTTGATAATATCGAACCCGAGTAATTCGAAAGGATGATTATTTTATTAACGAGAATTTAACTGAGGGGAGGTTCCTTGTGGCCCTGGGGATGTATATATTTTGGGGGAGTTGACAACCAAACGAAACAAATCTTTCTTCATGTTCAAACTTTGGAATGATATGGATAGGCCGGACGACTTTTGGGGGCCCATCGCCCATGAGCAAAGAGTACGCAGTACGCATACATGACACACCATCACGACACATGGACCCGGGTATGTAGGAGACTATGTAGGTCCTTTTTTCCTTTTTTTTTTTTTTTCTTTTTGGTGAAAGATGATTGGGCCCCGGGTCCCACCTATCAATCAGTTCACAACTCATCCACCAGAAATAAATAAAATAGATGATGAATTATTATGACTTAAGTATTAATAATTCATGCATTAAACAGAATTGATGTGTGGGAGATTCAAGTACATATAATGGAGATAAGACATAGATGATGATGAGGATGACGACGACAAGACGGTAATTATTATGGTGAACGTGCACTTTAATAGTTTAATTCATATGAATGATATAAGGTTGGGAAATTAATGGATGCCACCACGTACATACACTTTTTAAATAATTCAAGTGCCACGCAAAGAGGAGACATTTTTCTCCCTCCGTTCATAATTAATGGATGCTATCTGCGCATTCCAACCTGAACACATCATCCCATCCAGCAGGTCAAGAGCTTGAGGACGAGATGCAACATCATCCTATCCAGCAGGTTAAGAGCTTGAGGACGAGATGCAACCGCCTCTCTCTCTCTCCCTCTGAATTATGAATGACGACTCGAGGGTGGTGGTGCACAAACAGCCAAGCAAAACAGACAGAAAACTGCCTGATTGTGTGTCCCAGCGCATATAATAATTGTACAATTTACTGGAGATCGGATTCAGGACCCTTCTCACACCTTAATCACATCCTTTAATTAGGAAGAGGGTATTGTGAGGATTGAATCGGCCGGAATTCTATTTACTGGTGTCAGGTGGTAGCAAATAGCAATTAAATAGCAAGAGTAGATTTGATGAGTGAGAGATAGTTGATTAATTAGTTGGTAAGCAAATGGATGGCATGTGATGTGCCGACAAATAAGTAAGTGTGGCCCCCATGTTTGTTTTGATTTCCAGCAGCACCACCATAATGCCATAATGCCATATTGGCATGGGCATGTCTCCAGACTCTCCATAGGCACCCACACATTCTCTCTGTAACTCTGTTCATTCTCTTCACATGACCATGTCATCACTATCACCCTCCAGTTCACCTCACATTCACTTTCACATACATTAATCCAACCCATAATACGGTGCATTATTTATTAATTATTGTGATAGTATGGCTGTTTCATCAATCAAATTCATTAAATCAATGATCATTTCAATTGCTTTGTATCATGGGATATTTATGAATCGAATTGGTATGATGGTTATATTAGGTTAACCGTGTTTTGGTCGGTTTAGTTAACTTCCAGTCTATTTGTCTATTTGTATGTTAATTAAAAACTGAATCAATTCTACAATTTTTTAAAAATATCGAACTGATCCCTTCAATTAACCATATTTTTTAATTTAATTTTCTTAATTTGGTTCATTTTTCCAATTTTATATAAGCACCACTCTAGTTGTATCTATAGATTATTCTTTTTCTCCTTGCCTCTTTAATTTTTTCTTTTTTTGTTTTTTCAAGTACTAAGGAAGTGTTGATAGCATGTAGATTGTTGTTTACCTACTCAAGACAGTTTTGTTGATGCCAGGTTCTCTCCCTCATCTCCTATAAAGAGATATATAGGCAATTGAAGTCTTTGTTAATATTGTTTAAATATATCATCCTAAAAACAACATTTCAATCATACACTAAAAAAGATTCACAATCATCTACTTTTATGGTGAAAAGCATGACACTCCATCATCATTTTAGGCCAATTCCAATTCCATTTACACTTTTATTTGACATTTACCAGCTATAGTGTTTTTCCTTTAACTTCTATAATTAGCCCCTATTCAAGCACATATCTCACTCTTGATCTTATAAGTGTCAGTTTGGTTTACAGTCGCAATTTGGAATCAGAATTATTGAAATCAGTTGGAAATGGGACTTCATTCTTAATGAATGGGGAGGGAATTCCATTCCATCAACACTGATAATGGGATTTTGATTCTACCTAACCAAATAATTAGAATTGAAATGGCCCATTCTGATTCCAATTCTAAATCTCTATTCCCGTAAACCATATGGGCCCTAATTCTTAATTAAATCTGTAAAAAGAATTCAACTGGTGGCAGTCAAACCCAAGTGGAATAACTGTATGAATTTATTTATTTTTTGGCTAACAGGAACTAAGAAAAGAGTAGTTGGAAGCTTGAAACCCACATGATTTTAACAAACAAGTGAATTGTGGTATAAATGTGTAATCAATGTTCAGAAAATCAAACCAAATTAGTCGGTTGGACCCGTTGAACTGTGACCTGGGCCCTTGACCACCAGTTCAGTCATACCCCCAAAATTAAATTGGGTAAAAAATCAATCAAAACAACCGACCCATCTAGTCAAACCGAAAAACCGGTAAACCAGTCTCATTTTTAGAAATATATTTGGTCTTTTGAAATTTTCTTAGCATATAAATACTAACTTTTAGAGGCCATAACTTTGCGCTTGAATGTCCAATTGGGGTGATATTTTTCTGTTTTGATTTTGGGTATCTTTTCGAGATCTCCGTGATCCCAAGGAGCCAAAGACACCTTGTCCCACTATTTTTTGCAAAAATGCCTATTTGACTTCAAATATTAATTTTTAATATAAAAATGAAAACTAAAATAAATATATGTTATAGAAGAATATAATTATATATTTTGAATATAAACATATAATTAATATCATTATATATTTATCATATAGTTATGCATATTATATATACACGCACATTACATTACATTATAATATAATATAAAATAAAAAAGCATCTTATAGCAGAAAATAGGTTTTTTTCCTTTCACTAAGGAATTAAGGTGGTGTTTGGCATGTCTCTTTGACATATCTTTTGGTCTACAAAAAACTCAAAAGACCAAAAAAATGGTCTTTTTCCGTTTGATAACCGAAAGACGTGAAGATGAGCGCATGAAGAGACTAAAAAAGACGAAAATAAGGAAGCTTTCAATGAAGCTTCTGCTCTTTCTGCATTTAAAAATAGCCTTCCAGTTGTTTTTAACAGCCCAATAGACCATGATGTCAGTAAAACGGTGTTGATCTTTGAAAACAAGCTCAATGTGTCTTCTTGTCGTTGTATATGAAAACAAAGAAAGTAGTAATTTGAATTTGGATATTAATAAGATAAGGAAGTAATTTGAATTTGAATGCCACAATTGTAGGAATAAATAATGAGAGGTTATTAAATATAGGAATCAAATAGATTTTTTTTTTTTGGTAAAAAGCAAATTCATTCAACATCAAAGCCAACCGAGTTCCAGATACAATCAGAGGAAGTAAAAGTATCAACCCAAGATTTCAGGCAGCCCGGGATTACATCAAGCCATTCACCCTTTGGCCCAGATGGGCTACATTGTTAGCTAGACGATATACAATTTTCCAAGAAGTAAAATTAAAAAAAGCAAGCTCCATTTGAATATATTTAAGCAAAAAGCAAATCTTACTATCAACCTAAAACGAGTTACACCTCAGAATATTCAGCACAGGAGGCAGTTGCAATATATCTAAATGTTAACAAGCTGCAAGAGCATCACCAATTTTAGGTTGCGAAGAATAGCTGCAACTTTAGAGAAGGTAGCAGATCGTGGGACATCGATCACTGCTTTAGAGCTAAGAACATACCATCAGGACCTAGAATAAGCACACCACTACCGGCATAATAGTCAAAAACAAAACTTGCATCAGTCTAGATTAAGGATAAACATGCGTGAAGAGCTTCGGGACCCAAACTGACCTTGCAACTACTTCTTCTTGTCACCATGGGTGAGCAAGGGTGAGCTTAAAGCCAGATGGAATACTGAATAATTCTGTCAACATGAGAAAGGGTGAGT